TTCATATAATAGGGTTATATATGTGTGTGCTAGGACCCGTCTGTCAGTTTGTCACACTGTTATACAGTTTGTGGCTTGCGTGTTGCTGTGAGAATGGAAGCTATATCACTGATATTTCAAATACCAGCAGGGTCACCCATGGTGGACAAGTTTCAGTGGAGCTTCCAGAATAAAACTAGGAAGAAAGGCCTGCCTATCTACTTCTGAAAATTAGCCAAAGATCCAAACCTTATGGATAACAAAAGAACACTGTCTAAATAGTTTGCTTTGGGGACATCATCAGGAAGGATCAATCGCTGAAAGAGAACATCATGTTTGGTGAAGTAGAGGGTCAGCAAAGGCAAGTGAGACCCTCAGTGAGACAGACTGGGACAACAGCTGCAATGATGGACTAGAACATGCTGGCGATTGTGAGGATGACGCAGGACCAGGCAATGTTTCGTTCTGTTGTACACAAGGTCACCATGAGTCAGAGTCTACTCAACAGCACTTATCTGTCTGTCTGTTGTCTGTCTATCCATCCACAACACACACACATACACACATTAACTATTTGAGGCATTGGAGAATGACCAAAAGAAGGCAGTATTCAACCCTGGAAAGTAGGGAAGTACACTGGGTAAGATCTATGCTAATACAGCTTTTCCCCTAGGAATTTAGGGCAGCTGGTAAGAATAGAAAGATCTATTTAAATATAAAGACACAGGTTGAAAGTAAAGGCATGGGAAAACATATATAGTATTCAAACAGCAGCATGAGAAAGCTGGTTTAACTCCATTTGTATCAGCAAGGAATATCGCCAGAGGTAAGGAAAGACATTTCATGATAACACAGGAGTCAATTCATTAGGAAAATTAAAAAATCATGAATATGTATGAATTTAATAACACAGCTTCAATATGACTGAAACAAAAGCTGACAGAACTAAACAGACAGACAAATCTATACCCCGGGTTGGAAATTCTAACTCCTCTCTCTCACTTATTAATCCTAGTATTCCTAGTAGTTGTTTTATAGATTCCTTACTTGTCATGTAAGTAATCATGTTGTATGCAGAAAGTTTTCTTTTTTTTCCTTTCCAATGTTTATTCCTTTCATTTTTCTTTTCTTAGTGCACTTTTAGTACAATGTTGAATCAAAGTGTGGAGAACAGACATCCTTTTCTTGTTTCCAATCTTAGAAAATTTCCTCAATCTTTTACCATTAAGTATGTTGTTACATGTAGAATTTTTATGGATTCCCTTTATTGAGTCGGAGCAGTTCTATTCCATTTGCAGCTTGCTGAGAGTTTTTATAATGCATAAGTGTTAGATTCTGTCAAATGCTTTTTCTGCATCTACTAAGATGTCATAAGGTTTCCTCCTTTATTCAGTTGATATGGTGAATTACATTGCTTGATTTTCAAATCACCAACCAACTTTGTATTTCTGGAATAAAGCCCACTTGTTATTCTTTTTATATGCTACTAGATTTCATTTATTAAATATTTTGTTAGGATATTTGCATCTGTTTTTTATGAGGGATGCTATCTGTAATTTTTTTTTCACCTTATGTCCTTCTCAGGTTTTCATATCAGGATAATGCTGGCTGCAGAGAAGAAGATGATAAGCATTCCCTCCTCTATTTTCTGAAAGAGTTTGTGTATAATTGATATTGATTCTTTCCTGAATTTTTGATGGAATTCACCAGTGAAACCATCTGGGCTTGAAGTGTTTTTTGTAGGAAGGATTTTTTTTTTTTAATTACAAATTCAATTCCCCAGTAGTTATGAGGCTTTTCACATTATTTAATTTTTTGTGTCCATTTTACCAAGTGGCATTTTGCAAAAAACATGTGCAGTTTATTTAAGTTGTTAAAATAATTGTCATAAATTTTATCACACTACTTCCTAATTATCCTTTTAATGTCTTTGAGATCTGCAGACATAGTTCCTTTTGCCTGATATTGGTAATTGATACCTTACCACTTTTGTTCCTGAAGAGTCCTTCTAAGCTTTTAACAATTTTATTAATCCTTTCAAAGAATCAACTTCAGCTTTATTGATTTTATCTATTATGTGTCTTCTTTATTGCATTGATTTCTGATTTTATTTTTATTATTTCATTCCTTCTATTTATTTTGTATTTAACTTGATCTATTTTTACCTTAAGTGGAAAATGTAGAATCAATCATCACGGGGGAATATTTTTTTTTAACTTGTGTTGTGACCTGTGGATTACTCTGAAGTATATTTTTTTAAATTTTCAAATATTGGGGGCTTTTACAGATATATTATTAGTATTAACTTATACTTTAATTCTATGTGGACAGAGACATTTTTGTTTGTTTGTTTGACCCAGTACCTGATCTGTGTTGGTAAGTGTATTGTCAAGAGAAAAAACAAAATGTGGGGACATGGAAGCCTTAACCACAAAAGCAGTGATGCCTAACTTTATTTTTTTGGGAAAAGGCACGTAAGTCTCTTTGGGAATGTTATGGAAATTATAGTTCTTCACTCTAGAAACAAAATTGTCAACAGACACATTTATACATTTTGCATTCAATCTCAAAGGTTCACGAATCCTATGAATAAGAACAAAATAGAGTTCTCAGCACCTTAACATCAGATCACTCTGCTAGAGGGATTTTTTTTTTTTTTAAAGAAACTTAAAAAAAAAAATTGAAGTGTAATTTAAATACTGTAAAATGCATATATCTTTAGCCACATTTCAATGAGTTTTGACAAATGGATACACCCATGTAACCCACACCCCTATCAAGGTATACAGCATTTCCATCACTCCAGAAAGTTCTCTCCTGACATTTCATTTCCCAGTCAATCCCTACCCCCACAGAGGCAACCACTTTCAAAGGGGACTTTTAGTGGGTCGAATTTAGGGGTTATAAGTAACCCTGAAGTGGAACAAAGCCCTGTTAGAATTCTCTCCTCTTACTGTGACTCTCTCTTTCACCTAGAGGCTCTTAGCTCTCGCATCCTCTGCAATGAGCTTGTAAAACAAGTCCTGGTAAACCATCTGAGAGCCAGTGGGATGGCAACCAGGGAAAAGCAGGCACAGAACAAGATGCCTGGGCCAATCTCTAGTTCAGGAAAAATGTAGTGCAGCCCACTTCAGTGGGTAGGGATTTGGAGTCAGTATCCTAGTCAGAAATAAGGATCTCCCTTACACAGAGGGCCTCTTGGCAAATATCTCTAACCACCTAGCACTGTGATGGAGCATTTGGGAACTCAGTAAGCTCTCACTAGGAGGATTACACTTCCTACCTCTACAGGCATTAGTGGGCTCACCATGCAGCTTTTTCTATCTCCCTAAAAGACTACTAGAGATGCACTGTTCTTAACTGGTTAAAATCACCCCGGCAAGTCTATGGAAGTACACGTGGACAGTGTCTGCACTTACTGAAGACTGGTGCAGTAGGCCAGAGACAACTCCCTAGAAAGTGGCTATGATAAGAAATGGTCATCTTTTTTGCCTTAAAAAAATACAAAGTGACAGCATTCCACAAAGATGCCCTGAAAACCTACAGTTAATGCCATTGTCAAAGGCAGCTTGCAGCATCTCAGAAAATAGAAATGTCTTCAGATGTCCACTGTGTCCAGTGACCTTAAGGAAAAAAAATGCATCCTGCAGCACTTTCTAATCTCATCCTCTACCTGGTCAGCTTCTGAGTCCGATGGGACCACCAACACCACGTCACCCCTTTGTAAGTTAAGTTCATCAGAATTTGCTGCCTCAAAGTCATGCAGTGTTTCCACCTGCAAAAGAGTGTAAAATAATCAATTAATTTAAGAAAAGAAAGGGAAGTAAAATAAGTCTCCCAGCCAAATTCTCAGCAGGCATTCTCAGAAGCATCTTCAAACTAGATAAAAAGATTAAGATATGTATCATGCCCCACGGAAGAAGGGCTGTAATGGCAGAATGGAAATCCTATTCTCTGTTAACTTGATATGCCTGAATCTTACAGATTGATACTGAGACCTTTTGGTTGTGGATTTAGCAATGCAATGCCCCCTGCAATAGCAGAACAGTAGTGCATGAATTACATTTTTAATTATCATATATTTTTAAAAGATCTGCCTTTTATTATCACTGATGCTTTACTATTTCTTTCTTTTTTTTTTTTTTTTAAAGCTTGAACTGGCTAGTTCAAAGTTCCTCTAACCTTAGCTTCTGTCAGTTAATAACTGGGAAAACCACCAGAGGCATGTTTCAAGGGAATGAATATTTAATTAAACCCTGAATCAATCTCTTTTTAAATAAACTTCCTCCCTTCCCTATCCTACCCTTAAAACCATGGCAATCTCTTTCTTCTCTTTCCTCTTTTTTTAAAGATTTCCTTAATGCTTTATTACAGAAAAATAAATTTAAGGTAAAAGGAATAGTATAATGAATCCCCCATGTACCCATAGCTCAGCTGGGACAGCTAATAACTCATGCTCACTCTTATTTCTTCCATATCCCTGCCCTCAACCTGCCTCCCAACCCCCGTCCCACAAGATTAAACAATCTGTTTTTTTAATGTGTACTTTTCATATATAATCGTAAAGTGTCAGAGCTGGAAATGACTATCTGACCCCAAAATTAATTTCTCTGATGACAAACTGAAGCCCAGAGGAGTTATGTGATGGGGCTCAGGTTGCACAGTACTTAGAGAAGCCAGGGCTGGATCCAACAAGTCCTGGCCTTGCACGGCACACTGCTTCCTTTCCTTCTAGTACTCTAATGAAAACAAAACACATGGGGACACAAGGCCTTCACTAACCAAGTGTTTAATGTTTTGTCACATTAATTCATTCATAAATTCATTATACCCATTCCCATCCCCATTTGATATAGCTTGGTGCAGTTACTTTCTAATGAACAGAGACAGAAAGAGAGAGAACTACAATCCAACTTGCACCCCCTCAAACGCACAAGTTTAACACTTTTTTAAAAGAAAACAATCTGAATTGTGAAACATAAAATCAAATTACAGAACTTAAAAATCCCAAGCAGTTGCCTTTTAGGTGTTTCCCGAATGTCCTTTATAAGGCCTCTTTGGTGTATGAAGATGCCAAGTAGTCACGGGATGGCCATTCTGAGAAAAAACTTTTTCCCATCAATTTGGTCTTTTTTTGGTAACTTCCTCTCCATAGAAAATCATTAATATTTTTATTCATTTATTTAAAAAATATTTATTGACACTCTACTCAGTGTCATGTACTGTAGTAAGAAGAAGGGCTGACCAATAATTCATGTGTCCTACCCTACAGAGGTGTATAATCCGGTTGGGATGCAGACTAGTAAAGGCACCCACAGAGCACCAGGCAGCAGAGAAGAGGGTAAGAGCAGCGGAAAAAATTAACTCACTCACTGATGCGCAATCATTCGATCTGTGGTGTCCTTTCCTTGTTAAAATAAGAACAGATATTACTGTAGTGCATGCTTGTCCAAACCTGCTGCCATCGAGTCAATTCTGACTCATACTGATCCTATAGGACAGAGCAGAACCTCCCTTTAGGGTTTCCAAGGCTGTAATCTTTACAGAAGCAGACTGCCACATCGTTCTCCCATGAGCAGCTGGCGGGTGCCACTAACCTTTCAGTTAGCAGCCAACTGCTTTAACCACTACACCACCAGGGCCCCCTGCTTGCTTGTCCAGCAGCATGGAAATCTTGCCATTTTACAATGATGTTCGCATGAAGGGAAAAGCAGAACTAAGAAAAAATATACATTGCAAAAGCAAAAGTTGAAATTAGAGAATCAAAGGTTTGAACAGAAAGGACTCAAAGCAAAGTCAAGGCAAATGGCTGTGAGATTTTTAAAAAGAAAAGAAAAAAAAGACCTTATAGAGAAAGCCGGGGGGCAATTCCTGAGAGGCGTCGCGTACAGGTCCTGACTGGTCAGCATCTCCAGCCTGTGCCGAGGGGGCGGGTGGAGCGTCCTCCAGGGTCTTCTGCTCCGTGGCAGGCACTGTCTCGCTGGTGGAGCCTGGGAGAGCTGCCTCATCAGTTGCCTCTTTGGCTTCTGCGCTGATGGTTATGTCATGTTCTCCCTCCCCTTCGTGGTTGGAAGCGGGCTCTATGACCACAGAAGGGATGACCTTCTCCTGGGGGAAGGAAACGTGGTGGTGCTGAGGAGGGCCTGGGAAACAAGACTTCTGGGTCCTCCACGACCTGCCTCAACCTCCCTCCACCCTTCTTTGCTACTGCCTCCTGCACATAACCCATGCAACTAGACACCTGGCTGTTCTCCAAACCCAGCCCAGGCTTCCCTGCCTTTGGGCTTCTGCCCTGCTGACACAGCCTCCTCTCAGTTCTTTGTGTGTCTGAAAACCTTAGTGAGATAGCTCTTCTGGATCTAGAATAATCATGCACTTTGAAGACAGTGAGATTTCTGTGCAAACTGGAAAAGTGAGACCCATTGCCATCAAGTAGATTCTGACTCATAGTGACCCTTTTCAGAAGAAAACTGCCCCACAGGGTTTCCAAGGCTGTAATCTTTACAGGAGCAGACCACCAGGTCTTTTCTCCCGCAGAGCGACTGGTGAGTTCAAACAGTCCACCTTTTGGTTAACAGCCAAACGCTTAACCATTGCACCACCAAGGCTCCTTGGGATAGGAGGCTGAAGGAGAGGATACCTCTGATGGTGTTGGGGAGGCAATCCTGAACCTGAACATAATAGGATGCCAAGGATAAGCCTCTGTGGGTCTCATGTTTGCAGTGGTTCATTCTTGTCCTGGTGAAGACTAACACTTGTTTGAAGCTGACATTTAACTTCCGGTAACTCCTTTTTGCCCAGAGTCCTGTGGGACTCCTGAATAGCCTGAAATTGCATGCTGGATTCAAATAGTTAGCCTGTATTTGGGCACAATTGGCTAGTCTTTGCTTGTTGGTTATCACTGGAGCACACACTGCAGTTACTTCTTGAGGGGTTACTAGCCCTGCCATCTGTCTCTATTGCCTGGTGAAAAGCAAAACCAAAGCATCAAGACCTCCTTTTTATTTTATTTAACAAAGATGAGCAAGGAGGGGAGTTTCACTAGCATATGGAAATTCAGAGATGCTTATTGCCTTTCAGATTACGTTCTATATTTCCTAGGATACCAGTGGGCATAGCATTCCCATTCTTCAATTTGGAGAACACAATACACTCTGGTCAACAAGCACAACAATATAGACATGAATACTCCTGGCAACGTGACAAGAAAATCTCAGAAAAATATTGGGTATTCTTTTGAGTTACTTCTCCAAATACCACTGTTATCTGCTGTTTTTCCAGTGGGATGAAAGGAACAATTCAGTTTCAAGCATTAAACAACCCTTGAGAGACTTGAGGGAATTTATGGTGAATAAAATCATCAGGGAAAGGAAAGCATAACATTAAGCCCACTATTCATTGTGACGTCCCACAATCAAGAAGGACCAAGTGGGCTGCAGAAAAGCTGTCCCTGCAGTGGGACATGGGTCAGAGGCTCCCACAGTCACGGAGCATGTGGTCTTGTTACCTCTGAACACTACTCTGAAGATGTGAAGAACTACCTTCCCGTTGGGCATGAAGGACTGAGGGCTAACTCCAACTCCATCTATGCATTTAGGGTTCATTTCCCTTTTAAAAGTACAAGATAAGAATGGGCCCTTGGTGAAATGAGCCTAATGGTGAATTGAAGCACTTTAGTAATAATATCCACCACAAAACAGCAATAATAGTAATATGATTTAACTACTAATATTGAGTTCTCACCTTGTGCCTGGCACTGGCTATGGGTATTTTCTCATATAATCCCTACAACAATCCTATGATTCAATCAGATGCTCTTTCTTCACCCTCCATTCTCATCCTTTGTATCCTGTGTGTGTCATTCCTTTTCTCCATCACGTTATTCCACTGTTTCTTTTTCCCCTATCTGTGCTGAAGCCCAGTAGGCCATAGGCACTGGGGGCCTGTGTAGGACCCAGAGGATGCAGGACCACTCTCTCCGAGCAACCAGTACACTTTTTAGATGGGATGGGTCATCACAAAATGGCGACAAACTTATTCCACATCTGAAAACAGTTATCACCATTAACCAACAGACAAACATTCCAACTGATGCCATCTTCCCAGAACCCCCATTTCACCAGAACCCTTACCTGAGGCACTGCTACCTCTGTTTCTTCTGGAAGAGGTCTGTCACTATCCACAGCCTCTGTGGTTTCAGTATCGGCTTTGGCCTCCTCTAAATTTATTCCTTGCTCTGCAGGGAGAGCTGCCTTCTCTGTCTCTGCTTCCTCCACTGGGGCGCCCTCAGCTGTCAACGCCAAGGTTCCAGCAGCCACATCAACGTCAGTTCCAGGCACAACCTGTAAACCAGGAACCAAGATAGGGCATGGCTGCCTCTTCGTGGGTCTCAGTTAAGAGTCAAACACAACCCCTTCACTTCTCTCCTCTCTGCTGAGGCTCATCAGACTTTGAAGCTTTCTTTGTAAATTTACTGAATCCCAGAATTCAGGGGCAGCAGCATCTGCCATCTGTTTATCAAAAATTGGACTTGTCTCCTTCCTGGGAACACAATTCTACATCCCTCAGCCTTCCTTGCAGTTACACGTGGACAATGGAATTCAAGTAGAAATGACACAGGCCATCCCTTAGCCAAGGCTTTAAGGTATGGATGGTCCCCTCCACAAGCTCCTTCTATTCTTGTTGGCTGAAAGCAGATGACAATGAGGCCCTAGCGGACATTTAAGCCACAAGATAGAAAGCGTCTGGGCCCAAAACCTGGATCATAGAGGAAAACAACATATGAAAAGCATCCTCATCCCACAAAATCAGAATTTAGAAAAACCTGTATTTCAATACAAACTTTAAAACCTTCCTGGGAAAGGTCTCAAAACTTCAATCACATTCACCTAAAAAAAGGTGGGGTGGCGGTGGGGGGGGGGGGCTTTCTCAATGAGACCTCATGAGAATAAAGAAAAAAAGAAAAATAATTGTTGTTATCCAATCTGTAGTTATAATACACCAGATATCTGTACAGCCATGTGTTTGTGAGCAAAATGCCAAAATCAGATTTTGAATTTTTACTGGGAGAAGTAAAATACAAAAAAAAAAAATTAGAATTTTGTTCCTACACTCAGAACAGTTAAAAGAAGAGTTTCTGTGGTATTTAAAACATGCAGTAATGAACTAAATGAGTGCAATCAGAAGTTCAGTATTGAGTAAATTGGTCTTGGAGTGAGTCCAAGTCTTTAACACGACTCCAACATCATCATCTAGGCAGAGCTGATTTCAGAGGCTCAAATAAAAAGCCTGAGGAAGAAGGAGAAAATTAGACTGATAATATATGATATACCCAGGACACATACTTCAAAAATTGATCTTGCTATCTGATGTGATTAGGCTTAGCCATTCCTTTCCTTTATTGAATCAGTTCTACCCAGCTTATCCTATTAACTTAGGAAAGCCTAATGTTGCAGATATTAACTCTGAAACGCAGAACCCTAAAAAGGGCAATGCTGTGTCAGTGTCTGTGAAGTGGGTATCAGAGATGGGAGAAGAAGAATACACACCACACACCTAGATTCATAACAAGGAATAAAAAACCCCTTCTTTTGACTCAATCTACAGGTACTAGATTAAAGAAAAATAACCCGTTGCTGAATACCTTTTTTTTTTTTTTTACAATATAATATTTTAGTTTGGGGATGAAAAATAATGTTAATAGTTATAGTGTTTATTAGAAATTTTCATTTTCTAGAAATTAATTTCCCTCTCTTATGAGAATCGTCTATCATGAGAATTTGGCTCTCTATGAAAAGTGTCAATGATCCAAAATATAGTCACTAGCTCTGATAAAGCATTTATTTTTTCCTTTTTACCTTGTTGTTAAAGTGCATAGGTTCAGAGAAGTCACCCTTTTTTATATGAATTTGTAACAGACACTTATTTACAGTGAATTCTAAATGTTGATAATTATTGACATGCGGTGACAGGTACATTGACATTTATACTTTGGTGAATGGCTGAAATTCCCGTAATACAAAGTTTATTTAAAAATTTAAGAGAATTGCATATCTTGTTTTAAATAAACACTGATCTTTTTTATGGATGTTATTGTTACTGTTACCAAAACCAACCAAACCAAACCTGTTGCCATCGAGCTGATTCCGACTCAGAGTGATCGCATAGGACAGAGTAGAACTGCCCCACAGGATTTCCAAGGAGCAACTGGTGGATTCGAACTGCCGTCCTTTGGGTTAGTAGCCAAGCTCTTAACCACTACACACCAGGGCTCCAACACAGACATACACACGTACATACTGCTGTAACAGTCATTATATTACTTGATTGTCTTATTTATAAACCACTCAATAATAAATTATACATAATTCCTTCCATATATATGTGTTCCAAGCACGTACTGTTAGCATCTGAATTGTACTCTCAACTGAATTGATATTTTATCTCCAGAAGAGGACATATTTCTGTGAAGAATTGAGTGTATTGCCAAAAGTAATTTTTTAACTCTCACCATAAAAGTAGAATGTTAATCGTTAGTCCTTAAATTATCTCTATCACTTTGTCTGTATCAGATTTTATTATTGCAAGACACACATATTATCACCTTTCATTTGCTAAATAAATTAAAGCGGCATTATTTGCTGGATACGATTTAGACCTGACACTGTCAGTGTGGCTGCAGTAATGCCAGCACACCAGCAGGGGGAGGCCAAGGACGCCATCTGACTGCTCTAACGTTCGCTGACGTAGCAGAAGCAAGCCCTCCTGGCTTCAGCAATTTACCTGGTCTCTGTCACAGAAAACAGAATGGAGCACATAGAAAATTGTTGGCAAAATGATGGCAAAGTAAGATCAGTGAAATATTAAAATTAGCAAAACAAGCGAAGGCAAGGCGTAAAGGAGACTGGCAGTTTGACTGTAAAGAAGAAAAGTCAAAGATTTGAACGATATTAGACAAGGAAAGAAATTAATACTCTTTCAGTTTTCCTGAACTCATTAATAATGAATTCCTCTGTTGTTGTTGTTAGTTGCTGTCAGGTTGATTCAGACTCATGGTGACCACACGTGTTACAGAGCAGAGCTGCTCCACAGGGTTTTTCGCGGCTGCAAGCTTCGTGGAAGCAGATTGCCAGGCATTTCTTCCCTGGAGCTGCTGGGTGGGTTTGAAATGCCAACCTTTAGGTTAGTAACCATTTGGACCACCCACGCCTCTTCCTATTTTGTTAGTCATTGCTTAATTAATAATTTGATTTTATAGAGTTTAAAAACATGACACTAGCTGTAAGAAAAAGATTGTCCACTACCTGTATTGCCTCATATCTTTGTTTCTGTCATTGATTTGATAATCATGAGGCTGCAATTTCCCCTTCATGGCTGGAACCTGCTCCACATTTTTTTGCTCTTACCAAATATTTTCAATGTCTATTTACTGACCCCAACAATAGAACAACATAAAATTACAGTGGAAAATAGGAACCCATTTGCTCAGATTAGGTATTAGCTTAGATGAAACCAGGAAAGATTGAAAAGATTTCTAGAGATAGAGTGACTCCTTTTTTTATGGTTATTTTTATGCATTCCAATTTGTTAGCTATTTGCAGATTTGGAAAAGAAAAGCATTTTCTATGCTCTGCTTCCTACAGTAGATGTTACACCTGCTAGGAAAAACCACAGTGATAAATGACTGCTATTCACTTTTCTTTTTTTAAGTGTTATCCAGGGAGACCAGATGACAGAATCTATTGAAGGTATTTCAAGCCTTTGATATTCAATCCTATTAAATTTCAGTGTCATTAAATGTTAAAAGAAAGAGCATTATCCCATCTTCTCACTGTTTGTTGGTCAAATGAAAACACCTCATGCAAAGAGAGACTAAACAAGCTTTCACCGATCTCAGGCACGTGCTGCTCACTCTATCCACAAGATTCAAGAGGCATGGCCCGTGTCTACTGATAATTTGTATATTAATCACTCAGAAATCACTAGGTTCCACATGAACACTTCTTTTGAGATGGTGAGCTGTGGTTCTTAGTCTATTGCATCAAACAGACCTCACTGCCTTCCTCCTTCTGCTCCAACAATCTCTTTGGTGGAAAGCAAATGTGACTTCAATAGTTGCATGAGCAAAAATTTCTGGAAGTGGAATTAAATGAACGCAATTCTCTGATGGCCTGAGCATAAATTCTGCAAAATGACATAAAACTAGCCAGTCCCTCTAGGAGATGGTGCCGTGAAAGCAGGTCACCAGGGACTTAGATCCCAAATGAGTAAGGGTAGTGATAGGCTGCAAGAGAATCTGTCACCCCTGGACATCATGTTCACTGTTGACCTGGTAGGTGGGTTCCCCTTGTTCCATTTTATTCACCATACAGAGATGCTTAGACATCCTTTTCAGAACGGGCTGGGGAGGGATTCATCAAGTGTCTACACACAACCATCTGCCTTGAATCCCCCAACTATATGTGTAAAAGGATGTACTGGCGTTAGAATACATCCTTTAGAGTACATCCTACTTTAGAGTATAAGCCCTGGTTGCACAGTGGTTAACGCAGCTCGAGTGCTAACTGAAAGGTTGGCAGTTTGCGCCCACCAGCCACTCCATGGGCGAAAGATGTGGCAGTTTGCTTCTTTAAAGATTTACAGCCTTGGAAACCCTGTAGAGCAGTTCTGCTCTGTCCTATAGGGTTGCTATGAGTTGGAATCAAATTGTTAGGAATGGGATTGGTTTTTCTGGGTTTGGTATAAGAGCAGCAGCAGGCCCAAATGGCCTGGATGCCTCAGAAAGGTGCTCCCATATTCACGGGAGGCTCGATGCCGGTCACCTTCTATCTGGGGTGAGGATGGGTGGATATCTCACACATTTTCTGTGCCTGACTCAGCTACTGCTTAAAGGACCCATTCATGCTTTGGTTTGGAGAAAATTCTCCTGAGCTTTAGCAGATTATTGGTCAGTATTTATAAATTCAGACTACTGAAACTTCTACTCTTTTTGTATATTTTGCAAAAAGAAACCAAAAAACCAAACCCAATGCCATCGAGTTGATTCCGACTCATTGTGATCCCACAGGTTTCCAAGGAGCGGCTAGTGGATTCAAACTGCCAACTTTTGGTTAGCAGCCAAGCTCTTCACCAATGAAGAACATTAAAATGGAGACTAAAAGTTTGTACTGGTGAATCTAATAAGAGTTTTTTCTTAATGTTCTCTGTTTTCTCATACAATTTTCATTTATGCACTCCTGGACACATTTCGTTTCCATTAAAATACTCCTGGAATAAATGACACAAATTATAAGTAAAGAATGTAAGATATGTAGGTATTTAATTTTAACCCAATGATTTTATT